GGGGAAAAATATCATCATTTTATGAAAATCTCTTCTGATATCAATATCGAGCTTTTGCGTAATTTATTTGACAGTACTTATGAGGTAAATTAATTAATTAATAAATTAATTAATTAATTTATAGCAATATTATTTAATTAATCTTTGATTATAATTTATAGCCTAATGCTAATGATATTGATAATGGATCTACAAATGAATGCTATACTGTATATTCAAATTCTTCAAAAAAAAAATATTGTTGTAAGTAATAATAAAAGTAGCTATAAATTTTTAATTATTATTTTAATATTAATAATTTATATTTTATAATTAGCTTATCCTCATCGGTCTGGAACTAAAATATGTCGCGGTCAAATTAAAAAAAAATTATATAATGTAGAATTTTACAAAATTATACCGCTAGATCTTCAAGCATGTCCATTTGTAATCCTTATATGTAAAGGATTACATACACATCCACCGCCACCACCTACATGAACTCCAGGTTATATTAAACAAAGATTGCAAGCACTTGTTAAACAAGCTAATGAGGACTTATTAGATGTAACACCTACACATATCGTAACAGATAAGTTTTAAATAAGTTTTATTTAATAAATATTGTATATTTGTAATACCTAATATATATATGTTTATTTTATTTTAGGAAATTTAATCAAGATCTATTTTGGTATTGATAATTTATGTGAAGTTCATGCTTCACTTAATGATACAAACAAGTTACGTTACTGTGTAAATAAAATTCAAAAGGAAAAGCATCCATTTGGTCAAGATTTATTAGGAGTTGTATATAATTTTTCATGTAATATCGATAATTTTCAGGATTATGTTCAACGATTAAGTAAGTTATAAATTTTTTTTCTAATATTAAAGTTTTAATTATCTAATTTTTGATTTTAGATTTTTTTAGTGATGGTCATGTAATGATTATTTGTACCTCTCAAGCTCAAATACGAAAATGGATTAAGTGTGATTATTTTGAAATTGATCTATCATTTAAAAGAGTTGCTGGAGAAATTAATGAATTCGAGGTAAATTATTATGATAAAAAGTATAACATAAGTAAGTATTTTTTAATATTAAATTAATTATATATTATATTTTTATAATACCATATATATTAATTATAATATATAATTCTATATATTAGTTTTAACCTTTGCCCGAGTTTTTACTAATTATACAACTACAATTGCATATAAACGTATATTTGAAGCATTATTCGGTCTTGTTAAGCAATTTACTAGTGAATCAGCAAAGTTTAATCATATTCATGGAAATGGATAGTGCTGCATAATCGGTGATCTTAACATAGCGCAACTTACTGGATTAGGTGAAACTTTAGCTTTAATCGATAGTTCTTTTACTTGGGAAGAACATTTAGTTCATATTTTTAAATCATGTCAAGTACATTATAAACAGTAATAGTAATAATTAGATTAGCATTTATTAAATATATATTAAATAATTTATTTTATACATATAGAAAATTATATGAAAAAAGATTCGAAAATAACATTAAAGCTAAAATGGAATTATTATTAACTGCGGAAGCTGAAAAAGTGGAATTAATATTTGATGAATTATTAATACTTGATAATAATCTTGCGAGTAAGTTTTATTAAATTATATAATATACACTTTTTAAATTTAATTAAAAATTTTATTAAATAAAATAGATTGGGTTCAATATTATAAAAAACCTTATATTATTGCATCACTCAATCCAAATCTTTCCAAAATTCCACATGATTTGTGGCATGCGGCACCAAATAGCACAAATTGTGCTGAAGCAGCACATGCTATGAGTAATCGTGAAGGCAAACAACTAAAACTAATGACAGCGATATTAAGGTTTGTTTATATAATTGTATATATAATATATCTATTGTTTAATAACAATTACTATTGAATTTTTTTTAGAGGTCGAAAATTAGATATTCGCAATTTTAAGAGAACTAATATAAAAGCTAATTTTAATATTAATACATCTGGTTATGATAAAAGTAATATTGCAAGAAAAAAGTTAGCAATTAAATGAAGTAGTAAGTATTTTTTTAATTTAAAAATTTTTTTTAATATTTCTATTTATTAAATTATATTTTTATTTGTAAAAATAGCTAAGCGACAATCTAAAGCTAGTTCTTCAACTAAAAGACGAAATAAATTATCATCATTTCAAATAAATAAAAAACAGCGAACATCCCAAGTAGTCGATTTAACTGACGATACATCACAAGAATTTCAAAAAATCAATTCAAGTAATAATGAATCTGGTATGACGATTATGGAAAAATTAGAATATGAGGAGCGCATGTTGATAATTGCAGAACGTAAAGAAAAATTAAGAGAATTACGAATTTCTAACGCTATTAAAGAGCGTGAACTTGGTATTAAATAATATTAAATACATAAATATTATTTATCGATATGTGAGAAAAAATAAAGTAAAAAAACATTTGATGCTTAATATTAAACTTGTTTAGATGTATTTTATTCAATTTCGATGCATATCTATTCAGCTTTAAACTGATATTTTACTGGTAACACTACCGTTATATAGTACAATATAGTTTCGATTACTTTATTTTATATTACTAAGCACTGCATTATTCTATTTACTGTATGATCAACTATCAATTACCATTTTTCTTATTATCGTTATGTAATGGTAAATACTGATACTGTCCCGATTAAAATAATTAATTATAGTCGATAAAAATAATATACAAACTACTACATAACTGACTCAAATTTTTTATACAGAAATGTATACTATACGCTTTTTTTTAAAAAAAAAATTTATACATACATGTATGTTATACGCTTTTTCTTTTTTATTAACCTACGCTACATCTTTCATGGTATTGACTATACGATTATATACAACACCTAATTATATGACCAACCTAATGATGGTCATTATACGCGGAAAACCATAAGAATTAGATGATCATTTAGCTTAAACAAAATTTTGTTATCGTTATTGGCTATAAACCTTTAATTACCTTTATTTAGTTAGCTTGAGCAAGGTCCACGTTTTGTTAAATCACGGTTACGAGGACACGTGCCTGCTAGGTCACGACAAGGGTAAAATCGCCACCACGAAATGTTAGATTAGTGTTAATAATATATTGTCATCAGACTAGGGTTTTAAAGAAGCCCTTATACCAAAATTTTACAAGAAAATTTTTTTATTAATACGTAAAGGCAGTTTCATAGACCAAATTTTGAGTTATTGGATTTTTAATTTTTTTTTTACTTTACACTTGATCTTGAAATCTGATTGGCTAGTTTAAGGATGGGTGATTTTACGGCGGTTCTTTTTTTTACTGGGTACGCTGGGCGGTTATTGGTCGCGGGCACATCACATACCTAATTAGTGTGTTTTGGACGAAATCCATTTTCAAAATCCGAAAGGCGAAATAAATCTGAAACTTCCGAAACTTCCGAAATAGGCGAAATGGGCGAAACTTGGCGAAATGTCTGAAACCTATAATTAGAATTTTGAAAAAAATATCCAGAATACCACCTAAATTATCGGTGACACATTTCAACCAATAGAATTATAATTTTTTTTTTTATCAAATTTATCAAGTAGTTGTCGAGATCTCTTTGTTCAAAGTTATAAAAAACTCAAAAAATGTCTCGAAAACTATCTGGCCAAATTTGATGAATTTTTTAATTGGAATTTAATGAATTTATGGAAAATTTCATCAAATTTGGCCAAGTAATTGTCTAGACTTTTTACTCACAGGTTTAAAAATTATACATGCGTAAATTTCTATTGGTTGAAATGGGTAGTTGTAGGACCTGTTCACAGCCAGACGGAGCTTTGTACGAGACTATTCACTCCGTTTCACTACTCTCCGGATATTTTTTCCAAAAAAAATAAAAATAAAAAACTAAATTTATAAAATTTAGATTTTGGATATTTCGTCAAATTTCGGTTTCGCCAGGTTTCGGACATTTCGCCAGTTTCGCCAATTTAGGAATTATCGGATTTCAGGTCTTTGGGCGAAACATATTTCGCCCTATTTCGAAAATTTCGCCCGAAAACACTAATCAATTTACTGCAAAATAAAAGTCATCCGGCATGTACAATACATCATATTCCCTAAAGTAGTTCTGCAGGTGCTTGGTAAAGAATTTTTAGATAATAACGTATCTAGAACCTGCAGAACCTAGTTAGCAGAACCGAAAATGTCTGACAGATTATGATATGGCTGATTGGCAATTTTTAACTTACCATTATAGTTAGTCTTGATTAAAGTTTGAATGAGAATTTGGGCTGACTTTATGCCAAAAAATTTTTTTCTCACAATTTTGAGGCAAAGCAAACAATATCAATACTTTTAATGTTTGTTGATCAACCTGTCACACATTTGGCCATACCCCTAGTTAATATGCGGATCCTTGTATTCCATATTCCTATTACGTATTCCCAAATAGTTAATATATGGATTCCATATTTCAGAAAAAGTTACAGTAATACGCTAATCCCAACAAAGATGTTTTGACTTTGATGATATAATAAAATCCACTAGATTTAACAAATAGAAGTACAAAACGCACAGACAACCGGAAATTAATACGTAGTATAGATTGTAATTTAGGTCAGAATTAAAAATTTTTAACCTGGCAGTTCAGATTCTGAATCAGTCATTTCTGTTAAACCCCTTGTCTATAATTATCGATAATAAGGTTTTATTAATTAGATGTGCTATTAAAATTACAATATTTCCGTATTTAGAAACCAATTGACAAAATTGATGGTACAGTCGACTCACTTTATACGTAGCGAACTGGTGAGTATTTATAGTAAAGAATTTCCAGAAATTCCTTATTGAGTAATTTACTATATTTTTATACCGAATTCTACGTACATATAATAATTTTTTTAAAAAAGTTCATTATAAAAAAAAGGTTCATTATATCCAGAGTTGACAGTATTATATTACACCAACTGTGAAATTTTGTTATACATAATCCCAAATATGGAACGTGCAATAAAAAATCCAATAAAATTAATGAATTTGTGCGAAAATGAATATATTCATTCTGTGCCAAGGCATGCAATATGTAATGATTTAAGGAGGCCAGATTAGCCAAAATTGAGGGTTTTATGATTACGACAATATGCGTTCATTAATAAATTAATTTTTCCTCGGCGTATTATTTCTATATCAAGAGATGGGTGGATTACCTGCAGAAGTATTTACTTGAGTACGACTTACGAGTAAAATTAGACTGTCAATTCGGCAAAATCAGGTGTAACGTGAAAATAAAAACAAATCGAATAATGTGAAAAATTTAAAGTGCAAAAACCTTAGAGTTCGAGCTTAGTATATGCAAAATTTAGCAAGGAATTTTTATTATTATTGCGCAGAAGGTGATTTTATATGAAAATTTTTGAGTTATTGATGATTTTTCAAAAAAAGCGTGATTTTATGTTACACCTGAACTTGTATCCTGATTAGTCATATACCTAACAGCTAATTTTTTTTTTTTTAGTATTTGTTAAATAAGTAAGCACTGCATTACGACACATTAATTTTTATACGTATATAAAATCAGAAATTTCTTACTATTATTCAGTTACGTACGTATACTCTTACTACGTAGCGTTTTCAAAATGAATTATTATTTATTATTATTAGCTACAATTATCAATTTACCAGCAACCCTTGCTGATAATAATAATAATTATGGCAAACCTTTTTATTATTTCTTTGCAACACCATATCCTAACGGTTCTTGTCCTGCTGGTAGTTATAGTTCATACCGTATCTATAATACAGATTCACTTCAAATCAGTCAAATAGTATCATATGGAGGAATTTTATTTACGGCAGGAATTTTTGGAGTTCGCTCTGCTTTAGGATGGCGGCTTACATTTTTTCTTGATGATTATGTGATATTATTATTAGGACTTACACCTGTAATTCCATTTTATGTTATAATTCAAGTTAGTTCGAGGTTAAACGTAGCAACGAATGTTTTTGTTTATATCACTATTATAGCATGGATTTTTATTTGTTGGATTCTTTTATCAGCAATTCATGATTTTAATTTTCATTATGATTTATCAGAAAATACTAAAAGAATAATGAAAATGTTATTAGGATTTGTTCATTTAATTTTTTCTAGTGCTATTTTGGCGACTAATATATTCATTATATGTTATGATTATTATAATTCACCAGATTCTCAAAAAGATATAGGTGATATTTCAAATCAAGATGCTTTTAGTTTTCTTATACATGCTATTTACTTTATAATGTCAGTTATTTTAATAATATATTTTTTTAAACAACCAATTAATAAATACCCTTTACGAATATTTTTTATAACTTTATTTATATCAGTGATAAATGTATTTTTCGCTTATGCATATATTTGTTCACTTCCAATCATTGATAGTATATTTAATTTTTTTGTTGGTATGGTATTGTCGAGAGCAGTAGTAGCATTATTTTCAGATAAAAAAATAATTTATGATTATATAATGGAAGTTGATGATGAGAGTAATTTGATGATTATTGATAAAGATCTTGGGGAAGTGGATAGAGATTGTCATGAATTAAAACGTAAACATTTACGTATACAAAGATTTTTCGCATTTTTATTCTTTTTAAATTATGCGAATGGAAAATTTATGTGGAAGAAATCATTGGTTGGATATGTAGATAAAGAACAAAAATTTTTCACATCAAAGACTAATTCATTGATAATTAGATGTGAATCAATGAAATATATTAAAGGCGAAGAAATTAAACATTTAAGTGATTTAAATGATTCAAATGATTCAAATCATTTAAATCATTTAAATAGATTTGATTTAAAAATTGAAGATGACAAAATGATTTTAGAAAAGCTAGAAAAAACGAAAGATGAAGATAATATAAAAATTGGGAGTGTTGAAAAAGCAAAGAATAAAGATAATATAAAAATTGGAAAGGATGAGATAGATTCGATAAAATTAGAAACATTGAAACTTGAAATTAAAGATAAAGAAAGCGTTAATATCGATTTATTTGGAAGAGGAAAAATAATTAAACTGAAAAAAGACCAGGAAAATGACATAATTATACGATATTGGAGTGCAACTTTAGATATCGAAGATAATCGAATGTATTTAGTACAGAGATTAGAATTTCAAGATATCGGGGTAGCTTTTAGTGGTAGAGGGTTTAAGAAAAATGTTCAATTATTCCCGAATTTCGATAACAAAAATAGTGATGATGGATCAATGAAAATCACTTATGATGGTGATTTTAAAAAATATCAAAATGATGAAAATAATGAAAATTATAACTGGGAATTAGATATTGATCATTCAAAGCTAATATTCGATAAAATATATGCCCCGAACTCGAAAAAATCCGATATTTGGAATCTGAAAATCAAAAATAATAAAGCATTTATAACCAATAAAAGGCTAATAGACGAATGTGAGGCATTAAACAATAATGGTAAAAAAGCCATCAACTTAGATAGAGATGTAAGCTTAAAAGGCAAATGGAAAATAGCAAATCAAAAGATTATTCATGAAAAAAAATCCCATGACAAATATAAAATTAAAAAAACAATTTTGAACGATAGTCCAAATAATGATAAGAATTTATGGGAAGACAAGAATTTATTGGTAGACGGTAATTCAAGATTAAGAATCGAAAAAAATGGAATATATATGGAATATAAATTGATTAAAGAAAATATAAAAAAGGCTGAAGCAAAGATAAATATTGATGATAAAAATGAAGAAATAGAAATTAATGATCAAATATCTAATGATAATGCGTTGAAAGTTGTAGATTATCCATTTTGGGATGCAACATGGAAAAGATATGAATCCGATATTTTCTTGAAACATAAAGTTAATCAGAAAAACGTTATAAATATGTCAATTGAAGGCAAAAAATTTATTAATTTAGACATTGAAAATTTTAAAAATGAAGATGATTTAAAACAGAACAACATCAAGATCAATGATAATATTATAAAACTTACGTATAGTAAAATTCAATATAGAAAAATTCTATATAGGGAAGATTTAACAGAAACATTTCAGTCCTTGACAATAAATGATGAAGTTAAGATTACTAAGGAGGGTGACGCAATAATAATACGTGAAATGAATAATAATAGGTTTAGAGGCATGTGTAACCGCATATTTAGTAAAAGTGAGGGTAAAAATGTTGATGATAAAACTGACGAAAACATAAACAAAAAAACCATAAACAAATTAGAAATTAAGAAGAATTATTGGTTCAGGGAAGAAAAAGAACATCATTTACATATTCGTGTGGAAGATGTTAAAAAGAAACTTGCAAAAATTTATATTCACGCAAATTCAACCATAGTGAGAAATCATCGTGAAGATAAAACGAATAAAAATGATAAAATAAAAAATCATCATGAAGAAGAAATTATTAAAATGGAAAATGGTGGTAAATTAAAAATCGAAAGGACTGATAATGGACTGATGGTCGTACTTTTAAAAAATATTTCTTTAAATACACGGGGGACGTTGAAGATTCAACAGGGTTGTGTGACTCATATAGAAACCCCTGAAGGCAAAAGATTTATTGACCTAACAAAACATGGATTCTTGAATTATGTAATGTATCATCATAAAAAACATAAAAAAATGCGACAAGAAATGCGTGAAGTAATTGAACAGCGAATTGAAGAAAGCAAAAAAAAACCAATTGAAGGAGAAGAAAATAAACAAGAAATACCTGAAATAACTGAGCAAGAAACAAATCAACAAGAAAAAATGATGTTTTAAATAATTGTAGTAATTTGTTTTCAAATTTAATATTTTTATCATATATAAAATCCTTTATTTTTCCATTTTAAAAATGTAAAAAATAACAGATTTCGAAAAATGTCGAATCAGTATATATTATTTATATATTTTTATTAAATAAAACGAGATATATTATTGTTTTGTTTTCAACTATGCAATTTTTTTTTGTTGGCATTCCGACTTTATATGAAACCTTTTATTGTCTGTCTAGCTTTTTTCATTTATTTGTCGGATTATTAATCTGAAAAAGTAAGCTTATTCTTATCAAATTTATTTCTAATCCTGTTAGTATGCATTATTTTGTCTCAACCGGTCTAATCCAACGTATCTGCTGAATTTGTTTGTACGTACCCTATAATTTAGTATCTTGTCCGATATTAACATTAACGTCCAACCAATGAGATCACTTATGAACTAATGAGTTTTAGCTATGTCAATATATTTAATTAAGTTAAAAAAAAGGTCCAAAAACAAAATCAGCGGACATTATGTACATACAGTACGTATCACTTCACCTACACTCACTTTGTAGACACAATCAATTCACTGACTTGCTTATTTACAGACAACCAATTCTAGACAAGCTCATTCGTAGACAAGTTATCTCTTATAAATTTCTTAAACCCCTAACCCTACTTAGTGATTTTAACCGGTTGGACAATAATCGGTTATCTGAACGGCGATAAAATTTCGATTAACCGTTTATCATAAGTAAAATGTTTAATCGCTAACCTGGATTATCGATTTGATAAACCGGTTAACTGACTACTGTAATGCAATAGAGTATCCAGGATTATGATATAATATCTTTATCGTTATACTTGTTTGTGGATTTTTACTATGATAAGCAAAATTTAGATCACCCGGTCAGCATTAGCCATAATTTAGGCTAGAAGATCTTCATATGGGCCGAAATTTCCAGTTGGAACGCTGTGATTATTGAATTAAGTGATAATAAAGTGATACTCATACCCTAATAGTGGAAGGCGTCGAAAGATGGCGTGGAAGATTTGGTCCGGGTTTATCAGGGTCAAGGTCAGTTTATATTTTATGGAGAGGGGGGGTAACTCTTTGTTAACGAATGTGGTATTTAGGGTTTTCGAATTGTCTCCCAGTTGAGATCTATTTATTGAAGGGAAAAAGGCGTCCCTTATATAGATAATTTTACATATTGTAAAATCGAAGAAATAAAATAAATCAAAGAAATAAAATAAATAAAATAAATCGAAGAAATAAAATAAATAAAATAAATCGAAGAAATCGAAACTGTACTACGCCAGATCGTAGATCTTCCGGGATGACCAAATTTGCCCTTCACAAACTCCCCTGCTTAATTTATGCGTACCACGCATAAAATCAAAACTTGTCAAGGTTTATCGGATACACTTTGACATCACACTGAGGTTTTTTCAAGACTTATTCAGGTAAGTAATGCGGATGCTTCTTTTCTTCTTTCAATCCATTAGTTTGGTAGCTACACTTTGATATCTACCTAGGGCTTCGTAGAGACTTATCTGGAGTACAATATTGATGTATCCTTTAATTCTTTTTATCTAAATTCATTTGTTATTTCTTGTATTTTCTCTATCTTGAACTTCTTAATTATCTTCATCTTATTATGATCAGATTGTTAAATAACTCCTGTTATTGGATGCAAAGCATCCAATAACTATATATTATTCTTGTGCAATGTTTACTAATCTTGAGTCTTACAAGTATTTTTTTTTCTTGCAGTCTAAGAATCTTGAGAATTTTTATTATAGTTCTTGTAAGTAAATAATTGAAGTGAATTTAAAATGTTAGAACACTAGAACCTGAACTGAATTCTGTTTTTTGAATTTGGGAGTATCAAATTATATTCATTTTGCTGTAATTAATATTTTTTGATTTTTAGGTTCTAATCTCTTGGCACTATTATTCAGAATTCAGGATCTTGTTAGGATCTTTATTTGCTTTTTGTTTTAAGTAAGTATCTTTATTATTCATCTTTATACATAGCTAGTTTCTAATGTTGGCTAACTCTTCTAATAGATTATTCACAGCAATCTTGTTTGAAAAAATTTTTAACAATTTGTCTGATCTAGGTAGGTGGAATATCTTATTGTTTTCTTTGTAGTTAATCTATCTAATTATCTATAAGAAGACAGGTATAGTGCAAATATCTAATATAGTTATCTTTCTTCTCTTTTTTTTTTTCTCTTTAGGATATTGATATTCTGATAGTTTTATTTCTTGAGAAATTTAGAGTAATTGGTATTATATTCTAATAAGTTTTTACTTAACTTAGTTCTATCTTTGCTTCAAAGTTTAAGAAATTTATTAATATTTTTTTTTATTTTTAAGTTATCTATAATTTTTGAATATATCTATAGTGTGAGATTTTCTTGACATTGAAATCTCTTATACTTAGTTCTTTTGAGGCTATAGCAGAATATAAACTTTTAGTCAAAAATATATCCTTTTCTTAATTTTAGGTTTTTTAACTTTCTATTAAATTTTTAGTAAATAATTTTTATCTTTATTATAGCCTTTTTTGAGTAGCTTTAATATCTGTATTGAGGACCTTTTAAGAGAATACTCTTGGTCTGTTGGGCTTATTAAATATAGAGTAAAAGATATATTATTTGTTCTTCTCTTCCAATTTGGTTTTCTAGTAATTTATATATATTAACTTATTTTTTATTATTAGATCAGCTTATATTTCTACTGCAGCTAAGCTTTAAAATATTATAATTTAGTTCTCAAAATTTGTTTTAACAGAGTTTGGCCAATTCTTTCTTTTGTACTTCTAGTTAGCTAGACAAGATTGTGAGTTATATATTTAACTTCTAAATTTCTTTTTTAGATTGAGTTTATTATTTAGTATTGAGGCCTAATATTTTTATTGCAATAAAGTCTTTTTATTAATCTGTTTGCTTTTATAATTTATATTAATATCTTCTTCTATATTATAGAACTTGAAGTTGAATTTTAATAGAAGTTCTCACTTCAAACTTAAATAAGTTTATAGAGATGTAGTGTATTATAATTTTTTTAGTATTTATTTTTGTTTTTTCTAATTTTTTACAATTATAGTAGAAGGTTCTATATAATAGTTAAATACTAGAGAGTGTATAAATAGTAGCAATAAGAATTTTCTTTAATTTTTTATCTAACTGTTTAAAATTCTTAGATAAATTTTTTAATTTTTTTTTATCTCTAGGTTTAGCTTTAGTAATTATTCAGATTTCAAGTTAGTTCATAAGTAGAATTAATTTAATCTCACAATTATCACCAAATTATGAGAAGTGAATAGAAGTCTGAGATCTAAGAGTACATCAGAATAATAGTTTTACTACTAATATTTTATAACCTACTACTAAACTAACAATAATACTAATAGTAAAAAGTATCAAAAGATAGCATATAAGATTTAGTTTAAGTTTATTAGAGTTAAGGTCAGTTTATATTTTATAGAGTATTTAGAGTTTTTAGATTGTCTTCTAGTTAAGATCTATTTTTTGAAGAGAAAAAAGTATCTCTTATATAGATAATTTTACATATTAAAAAATTGAAAAAATAAAATAAATCAAAGAAACAAAATTAATAAAATAAATTGAAGAAATAAAATAAATAAAATAAATTAAAGAAATAAAATAAATAAAATAAATTGAAGAAATAAAATAAATAAAATAAATCAAAAAAATAAAATAAATAAAATAAATTGAAGAAATAAAATAAATAAATTAAATTAAAGAAATAGAAACTATACTATGTTTAATTGTAGATAACCAAATTTGTTTTTTATATCAGTTTAGATTAGTTTTAGGTTATTCTAGTTAATTTGTTTAGATTACTACTTATAAATAGAATATAAAAATTCATAAGCAACTCATAAGAGATTTATAAGCAATTTTATAATTACTGATCAAATTATTATTTTTAATCTATATATTTTATATATTATTTGCTTAGATTCTATTTAATCTCATCATTCAATTTAAATAATCATAGAAATTAGAAATTTTTACTTATATATCAATTTGAATATTTTAGCTTATTCTGATTTTGATTTAGTATAATTAGTATCATTCAAATATATATATTTGGTAATTTAATTTGTTAACTAATTAATCTTAATAAAAACAATAAAAATATCTAAATATAAAATAAACTTTTTATAAATATATAATACAAATATAGTAGTTATATCAAAGTCAAATTAAATAATTAATTTAATCAGTTGTTAAAGTAAATTATAATAGATCAGATAGTATATATATATATTTTATATATTAGATTAAATATTAGACTAGCATTAAAATAATTTACAATAATTAATTCTACTAAATCCTAGTTTCTATTCTAACTTTAACTCTAGTATTGTAATAAATATAATTTAGCTAGTTTAGTTTAGTTTTTTTTTTTAAATAAGATTTTTTTTCTAGTTCTTATTAATTATATAATAAGAATATAGCACAGTCAGACCTCTATATAATCCTATCCTATAAAATCACAACCTTTATATAAGTACTTAAAAATATGAAATAGACTTAAAACATAAGAAATAAACCTCTTTATAGTCACAAATTGTTTATAATTACTATTACTATAAAATTTAATTTTTTTAGTCAATTTTATTACAAGTCACTCTCATTATAGTAAAGTAATCTGTTCTATTAATAAAAAATTTTTAAAAATTCATTATATTAAGAGTTTTATTAGTAAATTTACTATAACAAGAGAATTTTATATAGAATAGCTTTGAGCTTAATTTTAATATATCAAGATTTTAATTAGTTTTCACTATATCAAGAGTTTACTAAAACAAGAATGATTTATAATAATAAATCTCTTTATAATCACTAGTTTTTAAATAAATATAGATTATTAAATCTAATTAGTTAATATTTATATATATACATATTTAAAATTTATTATTAAAAATTTCAAAATTTTTAATAGCAAATATCTTTTGATTTACTAAACTAATTTGAATG